GCTAATCTCAGAGGCCCACATGGCTCTTGTTCCTGTTATCTCCGTGACTTGGGCACTCAGTCCTCTGTAAAAGTGGGTCTCTGCAACAGGCAGGACTTACTGGTCCTGTTCCCACCTCAGGATGCCTCCTGCCTTTAACTCCTTCCAAGTCAGGAGGAAAACACAAGGATGCAGGCTTCCATCTCCAATAGTACCACGAATCATTTCACATTCAATTTCCCTATCAAATTCACAGGCATACCCCACATGCCAGTATTCCATTTCCTAATGGTCTGTATAGTGGCAATCTAAGTACGATGGTTCTTCATATCCAAGCCATTGAAACTCTCTTCATAGGTCAGGCCCTCTTTTAGCAGCCACAGCATGCCATGCCCTTCCCAGAGTGATTCCCCTGTCACTGCCCTGATCTAGGCTCACTTGGGACATAGGAGGTCTTTGAAGAGAGCCTTGGTCCCTGTGGGTTGTAGAAATGAATTTGGCAGCAGGCAGCTGGTGCTCTGGATGGTCAAAGAGAAGACCAACTTGTGCTCCTCCTGAAGACCTTGAATGAGGAACTTCAACATCCTCATATCTAAAATGGCCTGATGGGGCCTGGGGAGATGGCTCAGTTGGTATAGTGCTTGCTTCACAAGTATGAGGACCCGAGTTTGAATCCCCACCAGCCATGGAAGAAGCCAGCTACAGTGGCCTGTGTCTATAATCCGAGCACTGGGGAGGCAGAGACAGGATCCATGGGGCTCACTGGCCAGCCAGTCTAAACTGAATCAGTGAGTTCTGGATTCAGTGATTTCCTGTCTCAAACAAAATAAGGTAGAGAGCAGTTGAAGACACCAGACTTTAACCCTCTGGCCTCCACATGCATATGCAAACATTTGCACACACACACACACACACACACACACACACACACACACACGCACAAGAACTCAAACACACTCGCACACAGCTGAAAGGTTTCCATTCTCATTGGATGGTGAACAACCACTGCTCTGACCCATGAATCCAGCTGCCATACTCCAGGAACTCAGCCTCCAGCAGCTAGGAACCAAGAGTACCCACAGCGCAAATGGCTCCCTGGCTCTGCCTGCCCTGGTCTCATAGGAAAAATCCAGGCCAGCACCCACTGAGGGTGTGCAAGCGTAAGTGTGAGTATAAAAATGAATGAGGGTGTGAGAGTGTGAGGTTGTATGTGTATGTGAGAGAGAGGGGCTGTGATATTGTGTGCGAGAGTGCACATGTCTCTATGTGCATGTATATGAATGTGTTTGTGAGAGTGTGTGAATTTTGTATGTGAGAACATGTGTGTATGATTGTGGTACGGTAAGAGTGTGAGTGTGAGGTGTTGTGCGTCAGAATGTTAGTGTGAGTTTGAGAGTGTATAAGTGGGTAAGACTTATTGTGTGAGTGTGTTCTTTTGAGTATGAGAGTGTGTGAGCATGAGGGTGTGTGAATTTGTGAATATGTGATGTTATGACTGTCACTGTGACTGTGCATGCACGAGTATGTTAGCATTTGAGTGTCAGTGTGAGAGTGCACCTGGAATCATGTGTGAGTTTGAAGTATGTCAGTGTGTGTAAAGTATGGCTGTGTGTAAGTATGGCTGATGTGAGTGTTTGATAGTGTGTGAATGTGTGTGTATGTGTGTTGGTGGGGGAGTATGAGTGCATGATTGTGTATGTTTGATAGTATGAGTATGTTTGAGGGTGTGTTCATGTGTTTTACAGCTGTGAGAATATGTGAATGTAAATATGTGTTTGTGAGTGTGGATATAACGGTGTGTGCAATTGTGGCCTTTAGTGTATAAGTGTGTGATTGTGCATGAGTGAGATTGTGTGTGAAAGTATGTAGGATTGTATGAGTGTTTTTGTGTGTGTGTGATTGTATGGGTGTGTGATCATGTGTGTGGAGGATAGTGTGTGACAGCATTGCATGAGTGTGTTTGAGTATGTGGTTGTGTGAGTGCGTGATTGTGTGTGATTGTGTGTGCTTGTGTGTGCTTGTGTGTGATTTTGAGCTTGTGTGATTGCACTGAATGTGTGATTTTGTGTGATTATGTATGTGACTGTGTAAGTGTGTGATTGTGTGAATGTATGATTATATGAGTGTGTGATCATGTGTGTGTGATTGTGTGATTGTATAAGTGTGACTGAGTGTATCAGAGTGTGAGTGTGTGAATATGTGAACATGTTTGATTGTGTGTTCTCAGATGGAGCCTTGCTATGTAGCTCAGGCTGGCTTCGAACTCACCTCACCTCTGTCTCCGTGCTGGGATTTCAGGTACGAGCTCGCACCCACCTTTCTCAGCCCTCGGTCTCCTTGCAGTGTTGCATCTGCCCTGTGTACCTGGGCCAGGACGCCCACCTTGGGAAATAGAGCTGGACACGGCAGGATGTAAAGCAGATGCAAAGCCGATGGCCCAGGAAGGGCCTGTCCCTCTGTGAGGCATCCATCTCGGCCGCCCTCCCCTGGAGCTGCCATGAGAGTTCTCAATTTATCCTGCCTGAGCACGCAGGCGACCAGATTGGTGACAGGCAGGCACATCCGCAGAAGCCCAATATAGACTTCCAATTATCTTCTAATTTCGCTTCTGTCTTCATTTGCTCATTTCATTTTTTCCTAAACAGACTTAAAAAAAAAAAAGCCCTGCAATTTATGGCATGTGGGTGGCATTCACCTGCAGACAGATTGAGACCTAGGTTAGAGCCCTAAGCCAGATAGATTCTCCACACTCTGCCAGGGAGGTGCCACCTCCAGAGAACCCAGAACCTTGGTTCTGCTTCTGTCCTCTGTATGAATCGTCCCTCCTCATCTTAGAGATTATCGATGCTCAGCCCTGTCCTCCCCCATCTCCTTCTGCATTCTGATCTCCCTGGTGTTCCCTAGAGACCCTCTTGGTAGGTGAACCTCCTCTTCCTGGGTACTGTGAATGCCAAATTCCTCATAGCCTATCCTTTGATCAGGTGGCCTCCCTGTAACTGAATAACAGTCAACCCACACTTCAAACATTCACAAGTAGGCTAATGGGACATGTGAGGTCTGCTTACAGTAGACCATCCTATGTCTCCCAGAGGGGACTGTGAGCATTGGATACAATTCTACCAGACACCTTCCCCTTTCGGTTCCATGTCAAGGCTGATACATCCCCTCACCCTTGCTGGCTCTCATCCATGTTACCCAGGGTCTTCTAGGTCTTAGGGATCAAAATGCACCCAGGTTGAGTCTGTCCTTGGGGAATCCTGTGGAAGATGGACACCTTGCTGGGTGCCTTCGGTGACGGAGAAGTGATAACGGTTGGAAGAAGACTGGAAAAGGGCTGACTGGTTGGAAGGCTGGAGATCACAGGAGGAAGACTCAGGAAGGGAATGGGAGGAGGCCTGGCTTTGACAGGACCTTGGAAGGATGTCCACCAACGAAGATGGGGATGCCTGGCCTGCTGAGAGTCAGCAAAGCTGGCAACACCGGGCAGCAATCAGGAGACAGTTCAGAAGGTAAGTCGAGGCTGTTGAGTAGAGTGTCATACAGACCCCAGATAAAGATCAAGAATTTTCTCTCAGTGGGCTGGCAAGATGGCTCAGCAAGTAAAAGCACTTGTGGTCAAACCTGATAACCTGAGTTCAATCTCTGGACCTACATGGTGGAAAAAAAGCTGACTCCCTCAGGTTGTCCTCTGACTTCCACATGCAAGCCCCTGTGGTACACACACACACACACACACACACACACACACACACACACACCACACACACACACACACACACACACACACACACACACACCACACACAATATCTGAAGGTTTTTCTCCCAGGGTCAGAGCCCTAGGAACCAAGTTCCTGCTAGATGTGTTTCTTTATTCACAAAGTAGATCTTATTTTCACTTTCCAGTTAAAAGACATTAAAAACTGGAACGTGTGCAAAGGGCATTCTAGATACTCAGTCAACTGAACCCTGCAGGCTAGAGGGCTGCACAGGGCAGGGCTGGGCTCACACCCCCACTTGTTGACTTTACCTACTCAGCTCCTTTAGGGAATAGTTGAGACCTCTGCACCAACCCCTGGGGACCCTTAAGAAGACCTTGGTCAGGGGCAGGGGAGACAGGAAATATATTAGCAATGTGGGATTTATGCACATTAACCACAAGCTGATGAGGTATATGCATGCTGTCACAATCCTCCTCCTCCATTTTCAGACAGGGAAATGGAGGCACAGAGAGGGTCAAATCACTTGCCTAAGGTCACACAGCTGGGTGTAGGTTGGCGATGCCAGTCCTCCATGGGCCTCCTTCCCTAAGAAGCTGGCCCATCTTGAGGGAGAGAGGATGTGGCCAGGTCTCGCTTTATCTGGGTACTAATACAATGTGTTTCCCACACTTCTTCAGCAACACTGGTTTTCTTCACCTTGTCAGGCACAGAGGAGGGCAGAGGCAGTCAGAGCAGGGTCAGGTGGCTTGGCTGTTGGCCCCAGCTCAGGCTCCACTGCTTCCTTGCTTGACCAGTTAAACGCTGACCCCTCTATGGGGCTAGGACTAACCCCACATGCCCAGCACCTGTGGTGCCACCTGCCCCAGGAACCAGCAAACCAAAGCCACCTCATGCCTCTGACCTAAGGATTTGCAAAAGAGAAAACAAAGTGCTCTCACACAAAGACCAACCACACACATTTCCAGGCATCCGGTGACTATTTGGCTAAAAGGTTCCTCCCTCTGGAGTCTTTGCTAGACACTTCAAATGTCCTCCAGACCCCTCAGGTGGCAGATCTGAAGCTCGGCCTCCAGGCAGGACCCTCCCTCCCCTCAGGGAAGGAGTGAAAGAGTCTAACGCTGACTTCAGTCATTCCTTGCCCCAGGCCCACCTCTGCCAGCTCAAAGTCACCTCTGCTCCATCAACTCAGCTGGCCAGCCAGAGCCAGCTGGGGACTCCCTCCCACTCCGCAGCAGGATCCAGGAACGGTCCCTATTGGGCAATCATTAATCAGATTCTTGGCATTCTGTCCCTGGTCAGCATGTTTCCCACCGGATCAGAGGCTCAGGACTGGCATTTGGACATGCAGCTGACTAGCAAGGTGGTGTTGACCGCTGCTGCGCTGCTCCTGGTGACCGCAGCTTACAGACTCTACAAGTCTAGGCCTGCCCGGGCCAGACAGGGGTGCGGAAATGCCAAAGCCAAAGCTAAGGAAGAAGCGGAGGACTCAGAGCAGCCTGCTTTCCAGGGTACTCCTCCAGCGACTCTACCAAGGAGGCCAAGACGAAGGAAGGCCAGCAAAGGGGTGGGAGCCCCACTTGACTGCAGCTGGGAGGACCCAGGAGACCCCTGTGTCCTGGTCACTTCCAGAGCAGGGGAGTCCACAAGAAAAGGCTCTGGTGAGGAGTGGGGTGGGCAGAACCCAGACTCCCAGCAGGTGCATCCTCCCTGCGGTAGCCAGGAAGCCGGAACAGCTGTTGGAGGTAAGCCCAACCCTGCACAACTCCCTGATTTGGGCAGGGAAACCACAAGCTCCCCAGCCAGACTTGCTGCTGCAGTGGGAGGCATCTGCGTGGGTAGCAAGCCTGGTTCATGGCCAGAGGGCCGATCCCAGGAACAACCAGAGTCTGGGGATCCAGGAGACCTTGACCCCTGGACTAACCCCTCTCCAGACAGCAGTGACATGAACTGGAGCTGGGTCAGCAAGGGAGAGGCTGGGGCTCTCCAGGCTGTGGCAGACATGGGCCTGGCTGTGCATCAGCAGGAAGGAGCATGGGTAGCAAGCCTGCTTCATGGCCAGAGGGCCGATCCCAGGAACAACCAGAGTCTGGGGACCCAGGAGACCTTGACCCCTGGACTAACCCCTCTCCAGACAGCAGTGACATGAACTGGAGCTGGGTCAGCAAGGGAGAGGCTGGGGCTCTCCAGGCTGTGGCAGACATGGGCCTGGCTGTGCATCAGCAGGAAGGAGCCACCAGTGCCTCCTACACCTTCTTGTCCACGGCCCAGATACACATGGAGGAAATTGTCAAACAGAAGGTGCAAAGCCCACAGCCTGGGCTAAAGGGCAAGGTATATGACTATTATGTGGAGTCTATGTCTCAGGCTGTCTCCAGGCCAGTTGCCAAGACAGCAACTCTGACTGATGCTCCATCCCTTGGACCAGTACTCAAGACCCCAGGAAAAGAAGCAGCCATCAGAGGTCAAGCTGACAACACAGGGGGCACAGCTGAAGCACTGGCCTCCCAGCCTGTACCAACCCCCTCTGTGCGGGGCTTCAGCAGGAAGGTGAGTCTCCTGCAGATTGCAGAGAACCCAGAACTCCAGTTGCAGCCAGAGGGCTTCAGGGCCCCCGCTCCAGTCCACCCAGAACAGAGCACCCAGCTCAGCTCATCCTGCAGCCATGGGGAACCCCACGTGCAGCTTGTAGCTGGAACCAACTTTTTCCACATTCCCCTCACCCCTGCTTCAGCCCCTAACGTCCGCCTGGACCTGGGCAATTGCTATGAGGTGCTTACTTTGGCCAAGAGGCAGGGTCTGGAGGCCCTGAAGGAGGCTGCCTACAAGGTGATGAGTGACAACTATCTCCAGGTTCTTCGCAGTGCAGACATCTACCGGGGTCTAAGTGGGGCAGAGCAGGAGCTAATCCTCCAGCGCCGGTTCCAAGGCCGCAAGTGCCTGGTGGTGGCTGATGTGTGCCCCCAGGAAGACAGTGGCTGCCTCTGTTGCTATAACGATGCACAGGACACCTGGCACCGACTGGCCCAGTTGCCCCTGGAGGCTGTGTCCCAGGGCTGTGCAGTCTCTGCTCTCTTTAATTACCTATTTGTGGTGTCAGGCTGCCAGGGGCCCATGGGCCAGCCCTCCAACCGTGTCTTTTGCTACAACCCCTTGACTGGGATCTGGAGTGAGGTGTGTCCCCTGAACCAGGCTCGGCCTCACTGCCAGCTGGTGGCCCTAGATAGGCATCTCTATGCCATCGGGGGTGAGTGTCTGAACACAGTGGAGCGTTATGACCCTCGCCTGGACCGCTGGACCTTCACCTCGCAGCTGCCCAACGACACATTTGCCCTGGCACACACAGCCACAGTGTGTGCCAATGAGATCTTTGTCACTGGGGGTAGCCTGCGCTACCTGTTGCTTCGGTTCTCAGCCCAGGAGCAGCGTTGGCAGGTAGGCCCTACAGGGGGCAGCAAGGACCGCACAGCGGAGATGGTGGCTGTCAATGGCTTTCTCTACCGTTTCGACCTCAACCGTAGCCTGGGCATCAGCGTGTACCGCTGCAGCGCCAGCACCCGGCTCTGGTACGAGTGTGCCACATACCGGTTGCCTTACCCAGATGCTTTCCAGTGCGCTGTGGTAGACAATCACATCTACTGTGTGGGCCGCCGGCGCACACTCTGCTTCCTGGCGGACCACATCTCCCCCCGATTTATGCCCAATGAACTGCAGAGTTTCCCTTCCCCTCGGGGCACCCTTCTGCCCGCTGTCCTGACCTTGCCAGCCCCAGATGTGCCTCAGACCCCAGTCTAGCAGCCTGCTGCTGGTCTCCTTGTGAGACACCAAGGTCCACAGCTGCTGCCCTATCCATGGCTCCAGGGGCTGTCTCTGGGTAAGAGGTGGGCAGGAACTTGGTCTTAGAATGAAAAGATGTGTCTTCCCTCTGTCAAAGGCTACAGGATTTTAGGGGAATCTTCACCCTCCAAGGACTGGAGGCCTGCTACATACAAAGAAGTCAGGGATCATTATCCAAGGCAGCAGGCATCCACAGCTGCAAGGGTGACTGCCACCTTGCCTCTGATCTGAATTCCTGAGGGGCCATCTTAGAACCCCATCAAAGCTCAGGGGCACAGCTTTACCACGACTACAGTTTCAGGTGCCAGGAGACCCCTATGGTCCCTCCGGCTGGTTGGATTTCTGTACCCCCTCCTGAACCTTGGTCACACACCATCTTTGAAGTTCCCAGATGCATTGGGGAGCACGTTATGATAACCGAGGTAGGTTTAGGCAGGAGCAGGAAGGAGCCCAGGGTTCCCCTGGGATTCATCCAGACGAGTCAGTTGGAGGTGTGACAAGAAAAGCTGGGGTACCACAGGGACCCCTGCTTGCAGGGCGCATTAACCAGAGCCCACTTTTCTTTTTTTAATTACCTGGAGTATGGGCTGTAAGGAGAGAAACATCCATCTTTAGCAAGAGTTCTACTAAAGATGCAGGCGATTTTCTCGGGAGGCAGGGAATATAGATGTGGTCCAAGACTCCCTTCCTCCCAGATCCAGATGGTACCCACCATCACCTAAACACAGCATACTTTTCAGGGTTCTAAACCCTATCTGCCTAGAAGCCGGGGCAGCCACGATCAGTCAGGGCTTCTGTTACCTTCTCTGAATCCTGTGGCCACCCGGTCTGCCTTATCAGATGGGGAGGAATTGGAGGTGGGGGCAGGTCCAGGATGGAGCTGAGGCGCTAGAAGATTCTAATGGAGCACCCAAGTCTCAATCTCCTTTCACATCAGAGAAGACCCAACCTCCGGAAGATCCCTGTTCTTCCAGGAAGGAGGGCAGAGATCCTGGCCCAACCTATTACCACACCTACCATGCCCTCCATCTCTGAGGGAGGCACAGACGTGGGGAGGAAAGAAGCGAAGCTCTTGGTGTCAGTCAGGAGGCAGGAGGTGGGACTCACCCCGGGGGCAGGGCCTGGCAAGTGAGAGGATAGCATCACTCTCTACCAGTGTCCCTGTAAAGTCCTTCCTAGATCCCAAGGGGTGTCAGGCTGCTGGAGCTGAGGCTGGGGGCTCTTTTGGAAGATGCAGGATTAGAACATAGAACGAGGAGGAAGTTGGCACAGAAATGAGAGAAGAGTTTCTTTTTGACCACATAAGTTCACCATCCCTGGCTAAGGACTTGGGAGGAAGAGGCAGCTGAGTTGGTTGTCAAATTGGAAAAACTGAGTAAGAACAGCCTGGGCCCTAATAGGTCCCTGAGGAGGGAAGCGCCCCTCTATCCCAGCCAAGGCCATGTTCAATACTCAAGCATGAATCACTGAGGAGCAAGGATAGGGGGTGACTTCAGTGAAGACTCAAAGAGTCTTTGGCATGGTGATGCCAGGCTGGGGCAGGGTGTACTTGAAGGTGCCCCCAGTTCTCAGGCAGAAGGCAAGACCCTAGCCAAGTGGGATGGAGTCTAGGATAGGTTCTAGGCCCAAGAGAAGAGGAACTAAGCCTCTGGTCAGGTATAGGCAAGTGATTACAGGGAAAAGGCAACAAAATATGTTCCAGACTTCAGTGAATGGGATGTGGTGAAAGAAGGCTGAGATTGAGCTCATCTGAGCCTCACAGGCACATCTGCTATGCCTCCCTTGTGTTCCTGTGGCAGACATTACTAATCAATTGTCCTATCTTTTCCTGAGGAGACTTTATAATGGCCTTAGAATTGTTCAATACTGTATCCCAGCACTCACGGCTAATAGACCAGAACCGATATGTATGAACCATTGCTGGCTTGGGTCTCTGGAGCTGGGTTTGGGGATGGAAGTGGCTAGGGGCATCGGGGAACCTGGAGGGAGCATGGTTGTCGGGATCCATCCATTCGCTCATGAAATAAACATGTGCAGGCTGTTCGAGCCAGGCACTGTTCCGAGGCTGGGAGAAAAGCAGAGCCGTGTGCTGATAGAGCCCATATCACTAGTGGAGGAAAGTAAGACATTTAATAAAGTATACACAGAAAGGCAGAAATTGAACCCAGGCTGTATAAGCGCTGAGGAGCATATGATCAGGCCTCCTGATGAGATGGCATCCGAGGCGGGATGGAGCAGGGATGGGGAGCACAGAGCAGGGAGAGGAATGGCTTTCCTACACAGGCTGATGACCAGGGTTGCCTCGCAGAAGCACCCTGGGGTGAAAGAAAGGCAGGCCATTATGATTCTGTCTTCGGACTGAGGGAAAGCTCTCAGTGGCACCAACATTTATGAAGCAGAATCTTTGTACAGAAGCAAACTCTGTTCCCCAGGGAGAGAAGCAGTCTTGGCATTCTTGAGGGTGAGAGCCAGCATCATCGTCAGGGGGTCACAGACACCCGTGCCTGAGTGCGCAGCTGGGGGGCAGCCTGTTGGTACCTGCAACCCACGCGGCCAGAGTCTAGGATTTCACTTGACCTTGTGAAGCAGCCTGGGGTCTGTCAACCTCCTGCCCTTCAGCCTCCCCGTGGTTTTCCTGGGCTGGTTCTTTGCAGATCGTGTCTTGTTTTTCTTCTAAGAGTTCTTCTTCTTTGGGAGAAAAACAAAAGCAAGTTTGGTTTCTTTCCACTTTAAGCCAGCTGTGCCCCTTATAGAAAAACAAGAATTGGAAGATAGAGAATTGGAAGATAGAGAAAAGTATTTTTTAAATCTCCCCAATTTTGCCACCTGAAGATGTCTCCTGCTGGGGTGCGTGCCCCCCGGGCCTCTTTCTTCTGTTTGGCTTGGTTTTTTGTTCGGGCGTGATTATGCTGAGCATACAATTCCGTCGCTTCCTCTGCACACGGTGCTTTTAGAAAAAGCATCTTGTAGTGTTATTACAAACCCTCGGTAAACATCATTTCAATAGTTGCACAATATTCCACCGAGTGAACGCTCACTCGTTATTTAAGCATGCTCCCCCTGTGGGTTTTTCTCCCAGTTGGTTTTTTGTTTTGTCTTGTTTTGTTTTCCCTATCATAAATAAAATGGCTTTTGTTTTCTCATTCCTCCCTGGGGTCTCCATCAATATTTACTGGAAAAGCCCAGCCTAGGTCCTATCTGAAACTGTATAGTTATTGAAACAAACACAGATGCTTTAACATTTGCCCACGGCTAAGGTTGGACCTCTCTCTGACTGTAGGACACACAGCTGACCCTGGAAATGCCCAGCAAGAAAGTCAAGGTTGGCTGGCTGTGGGGAAGGGGGCATCCCACCTACATTTTTATGGAATTCCTGGCAGAGTGACATAAGGCAACACTGATTAGACCCCTGCATTTACCAGGAGCTTTTATATGCATCTCCTCAGTAATGTGACAGCCCCATTCTACAGGTAAGAAAACCAAGGCTCAGAGAGTTTAAAGAAATTCCTTCCTCCGTGGCAAAATCCAAAGACTTTTCATTTCTTTAAAGTACGCTAGAGGGGCTGGGGATGTGGTTCAGCTGGTAGAATACTTACCTAACATGCACAAAGCCCTGGGTTCAATCCCCAACACTGCAAAAACCATGTGTGGTAGTGCACATCCCAGCACTCGGGAGGTAGGGACAGGAGGGTCAGAAGTTCAAGTTCATCCTCAGCTACATCCTAAGTCCCTGTCTCAAAACCAAACAAAAAATGTGCTAGAACACAGTCTCACATTGATTTGACATCAGTCCTGCTCCTGGGATTTTTCTTTTTTGTTTTGGGGTTTTTTGTTTGTTTTTTGTTTTTGAAAACTATTTTATTTTTATTTTATATGTATGAGTGTATTGCCTACGTGTGTATAATTGCACCCATGTCATTGCAGTGCCCATAGAGGTCAGAAGAGGATGTTGGATTCCCCTGCAACTGGAGTTACAGATGGTTGTTAGCTGCCATGTGGGTCCTGGGAACCGAACCCAAGTCCTCTGCAACAGCAGTTAGTGCTCTTGACTGCTGAGTCATCTTTTCAGCCTTTGTTGTTTTTTTGTTTTGTTTTGTTTTGTTTTGTTTTGTTTTGTTTTGTTTTGTTTGAGGCAGGGTCTCCCTGTAGCCCCAACTGGTCTGGAACTCGCTATGTAGAACAGGCTGGCCTCGGTCTCACAGAGATCTGCCTGCTTCTGCCTCCTGAGTTCTGGGATTAAAGGTGTGAGTCAGCACGCCCAACTCCATCGTCACCCTTGCTGATCAGTCATGTTCCATCTCTGAATCTAGCACTCAGGGAGATTCTCTTCATTCTGTACTCCTCAACACCTACATCTATAAAATGAGTTGCCCCTGCCAAATTCAAGAGCATACCATGAGGACTAACAAGACACCCCACATCAGGCCCTTAACTCTGGAGAGCAGAAGTGCAGGTCTCAGAGGAACCCCTGGAGAGATGTCTCAGTGGTTCTGTTTGGTTCCGGCACCTGCATGCTGTGCTGGCTAACAACCATCTGTAAGTCCAGTTCTGGGGAATCAGACACCCTCTTCTGGCCTCTGTGGGCATTGCACACATGTGGTACACTTACATACATACAGGCAAAACACTTATATGCACAAAATAAAAATTTAAGAAATACATAAATAAACAAACAGGCCTCAGCAATCTTTTGCAGGGGCCAGCTGGAAGGCAGGGTCTTCATTATGCTCCATTCCATTTTCTCAGTATTCTGGCCTTCAAGGAGACAGGTTATCTGTGATTTAAGCTGCATTGGCCCCTTCCTATCTGAGAAGGTCTGGGGGCGCTCAAGATGAAAGCCAGTCCTATTTCAGAGCATCTGGACTTTAGAAGTGGGAGCACTAGCTCTCCTTGAAGGGACTTCAGGATGGATGAGTTTGCTGACTTGAGATCTCTGTGGTCAGAGTGCTGTCATTTTCTTGGGGTGCCAGAGAACACAGAGGAGCTTCCAGATACTCCAAGTCCCCTGGAAATCCTATGGTTCCAAGTACAAGGTGCCTTTTCTCTACACACTGGGAGTAAGCGCCCCACAGGGTGAGGAGGGCGCATCATGGCTGTAAATGGAGAGCCAGAGACCCAGGTGCCCAGGGCTTTCTGCCTTTGTCATCCTTACCTGGAGGGTCCTGTGGCTCTGGTCCCTCGGGAGTCCTTGAAGCTGAGGTTCCAGCCAGGAGCAGCCCCTAGGCGGGTGTGAGGCTGTGACAGAAGGAGGGAGATGAAGCTGGGAAGGAGATGCCTTCCGGGAGCTAGGTAGCAGAAGAAAGGACAGCCTGGAGGGGAGACTCTACAAACAGCTCCGGGCTTCAAGTCCTTTGAAAGTGGGATGCGGGTCAAAATAAAGCAAAAATGAAACAGCGATCAAGTCTCAGTTGCCTCTTTGTGTGTGAGAAGAGATGGAAACACACAGCTTATACCTATAGTGATTCCTGCCTTTCAGCCCCAGGGCTCTGCAGATGCGCAGCAACTGCAGAAAACAGCCTACCTTGCTGAAGCTGTGAATAGGAGCCTTCAGCCTGACTGGATGGCTAGGCTGTCATCCTCACAGCTCGGAGGAAAATGGAGACAGGACACTGCATCAATTTTTTTTTTTTTCTAATTCACCATTTAAGCCAGGTGTATTGACACAAGCCTCAGCACTTGGGATGTGGAGAAAGGAAAAACAGGAATTCAAGGCCAGTCTCCATTACACAGCAAGTTTGAGATCAGCCTGGGCTACTAGAGACCTTGTACTATTTAAGTGATTATTAGTAATTATAACATTGGACTATTTAAAAAGTAGAGTTGGGGTAGAATAGATATGTTTTTTAAGATTTTGTTTATGTATATGAGTGTTTTGCTTGCTTGTACGTAAATGCACCACATGCATGCTTGATGTTTACAGAGGTCAGAAGAGGGTATCAGATACCCTGGAACTGGAGTTAAGGACAGTTGTTAGCCACCATGTGGGTAACAGGAACTGAACCTGGGTCCTCTAGAAGAATAGCAGTGTTCTTTCCTTAACCACTGAGTCATCGCTCCAGCCCCATTAATAAATATATTTTAATACAAATTTAAACACAAGGGTTAAGAGAAGGAGAGAGAGGGTTGAAGAGATGGCTCAGTAGTTAAGAGCACTGATTGTTCTTGCAGTAGAGCCAGGTTTGAATCCCAGCACCCACATGGCAGCTAACAACCACCCGTAACTTGAGTTCCAGGGGATCTGACAATCTCTTCTGGCCTCCACAGGCATTACACAACATGGGAGCACATATATGCAAGTATGGGAAACACCCATACACATAAAACAAAAATAAACAAAATTTTTTAATTAAAAAAAAAAGAAAGAAAGATGGCCACAGGAAGAAAATAAGGCCCATGGAGAGCATGGGTCAGGTCTCTGCAACCGCGAAACATATTTCAGTGTCTTTGCAACAGTCATTTGTAGGGTTTTGAAGTGGCTGTCTTGTCAGTACGTGATTCCCGAGGAGCGTCTAACAGGATTACAGTTGATAAGGTCAACTCTAGACCACAGGACTGCAGGTGGATCTTCGTGTCCACCAAGTCTTGTCTGAGATTCCCAAGAGAGTATCTGGGGGAAGAATAAGACCATGCCCAAGGTCATGTGCAGTCAGGCCTTTGGCCTGGGTCGTTGCTATTCTAACGTAAAACATCTATATATGGAAGGAATATTCTCCCCATGTTTACAGCCTTTACAACAAATATTGCTAATTACATTGGATCTTTTGCTTCTCAGAGGTGAGAGGCTTTACCCAGACCCTAGGGTGAAGGCTCTTTCCCTTCCCACATCCCCATAATGTCGTTCTAACCTGCCTCAATCCCCCAATTTCTGAGATTTTGATCCTTTAATCTTAAGTGTTATAGAAGGCTGAATTTCCACCTTCTATAATTTAGTCCACATTTGTTAGAGATGTAGACCCTGCCTAGCCAAGGATCTAGAGTCTCCACCTGTGATCAGAGGGCCACCACGTGAAAGGGCTCTGGAAGAGAAGACGCCATTACTGGAGACATCAAGCCAGATATAAGCAATACAGTGTACAGGAAATAGTTACAACTAAGATTAGAATAGAAAAATAGGGGCTAGGCAGATGGTTCAGCAGTTAAAAGCACTGGCTGCTCTTGCAGAAGACCAGGGTTTGATTCCTAGCACCCACACAGCAGCTAACAACCTTCTATAACTCCAGTTCCAGGAGATCTAACATCCTTTATAACCTCAGTGGGCACTGCATGACATGGGTGCATTTACATACATGCAGGCAATATACTCGTACATATAAAATAATAAATGAAGTTTTTAAAAAAAAGAATAGAAAAATAGCAGGGTATTTTCACACCTGTTTTTATACTAAAAATCCTGGAAGAGAGACATGTAGTCATCACCAACACATCACTTCAACACTCAAGGCCAATAGGCTCTTTGGTGTTTGGTGGGATAGGTTTTGCAATGTAGCTCTGGCTGGCCTGGAACTCTATACAGACCAAGCTGACCTGGAACACGTGGCCATCTTCTTTCTGGGATTATAGATTGCACCATGGACAGCTAAAACTAATAAACCCTTTACTTGAGTCTTTAAAAACCTTATTTAATTTCTTTTTAAAAGATTTATTACTTTTCATGTGTGTGTGTATGTGTGTTCATTCCACATGTGCACAAATACCTGCAACATGTGTGCGAGTACCTGCAGAGGCCGCCAGTAAAGGGTATCAAATCCCTTGGAGCTGGAGTCACAGGGCAGTTGTAAGCTACCTGACATGGGTGCTGGGATCTGAACTGAGGTCGTCTGGAAAAGCAGTAAGGCAATGCCTTAACTGCTGAATCATCTCTCCAGCCCCTTTGAGACACGGAATGTTACTCATTCATCACGTTACAGATACACAAGGGACAATTTAAAGGAAAGATTTACTTTGGCCCACGATTTCAGAGGGTTTATCCGTGGTTGCCTGCCTGCATTATTTTCGGGTCTGTGGTGAGGCAGAGCTTTGAGGCTGGGAGCATATGGTTAAGGCAAAGCTGCTCAGCTCAGGGTAACAAGACAGAGAGAGTAAAGGACTGGGCCAAGGTGCCTCTCTCGAGGGCACAGCTCCAGT